AGACTCCTCTTCTAATAAAAATATAAAAACGTATTATTTAACGCTACCTAATAAATTCTGAATTTCGTTACAGCTAATTCGATCTATAAATCGATTATATCGAAGAAATTAAACGTCACAAGTAACAAATTAGTTTCTACAACAAAATCTCTAGACTCCTCTTCTAATAAAAATATAAAAACGTATTATTTAACGCTACCTAATAAATTCTGAATTTCGTTACAGCTAATTCGATCTATAAATCGATTATATCGAAGAAAGTAAACATCACAAGTAACAAATTATTTATTACCACAAAATCACCAGACTCCTCTTCTAATAAAAATATAAAAACGTATTACTTAACGCTACCTAATAAATTCTGAATTTCGTTACAGCTAATTCGATCTATAAATCGATTATATCGAAGAAAGTAAACATCACAAGTAACAAATTATTTATTACCACAAAATCACCAGACTCCTCTTCTAATAAAAATATAAAAACGTATTACTTAACGCTACCTAATAAATTCTGAATTTCGTTACAGCTAATTCGATCTATAAATCGATTCCATCGAAGAAAGTAAACGTGAGAAGCAACAGATTATTTTGCGCAGCAGCGAAATCTGCAAACTCGATTCCAATAAAAACGCAAAAACCTATCTAATAAATTTGAAATTTTATTACAGTTAATCCGCGTTTGGCTTAGCTGTATCAACGATATTATCCATACTTCGTTAAGCATCGATAAGACATCGATAGCCTATCGATAATCAATAGTCGTATCTCCGGTGTGACCCTTAACCAAACCTAGAGAATTCATGGCGCACTCACCCCGTTCCGTTCTTGCCTCTAACCCTCGAAGCATTATACCTGGCTACAGCGAATCACGAACGTGTTCCCCTCGACTCCCCTTTCTAATTTAAAAAGATACCGAAACCCCTACAATTTCCCGTTCATAAAGAATGGAACACCCGGACACCGGTCTGTCCAGCTGTTTTTATTACGTCGGAAAACAGAGGAACTGCATAATTGAAATTCACGGATGATTCCTGAACAGCGAGAGGAGACAGATGTCAAAAAATGCGGAGAGACCGAGCGGAATTTTCAGGGCCAGGCTTGAAACTTTCAAACGTTCCGTTGTGAAATATTTATCGTTGACCTTAATGGAGGGATCGGATGTTTGAAAAGCGTGACCTTTCCCGCGCTTTGGAAGCCAGCGTGCGCCATGTAAAATTGATTCGCTCCTCGCTGGTTAATTAGCAAACCGCGAAGCAGAAGATGTCCGCCTCTGTCCGAACGGGATTAACCCCGGTATGCGAGTGTTTATCGCGAGCAAATGGGCAAACAACGCATCGACGTTTCGCGCAAAAGGTTAACAAAGAACGCATCCGCCGCACGCTTTGCTCCATTTTCGCTTTTCAATTACCGATGTTGTTTCGGAACTACAATCCCGATGATTAATCGGGACACAGAAGTTTTAATAGGCTGCCGCGATGGGAATCGTATCATCCCCTTCGAGGTATTACAACGGAACGCGTCTTTGCAATTGCGATTCGAAATTACGTACTCGCGTAATTGTCGAGTACTTGGTCGATCGAGTAGAATCGAAACGATTGAAAACGTCGGTGAAACTGAAGGACGGAACGAACGAGCTAACCGGAGGGACCTTAGCCTACCAGTCATTTTGCCACGGCCTGTAGGCTTATTCGATTAATCGATCGAAACTGGCGTGACTCGCGTCGAGAGAGGATGTTCCGGGAAATATTAATGACACCTGGCGGAAAGCAGAGGGGGAAAAAGGAGAAAAGGAAAACGCCGGTATATTTTTCACGCTAAATTCTGTCTCGTCACTGGAACGTTTCGTAGCTGACGCGCGGCCATCTTGATCGTAATTAGTGGCGCTGTCGCGGGGATCTGCCGATTTATTTCGCAACCTCGTCGCTGTTTTAAATCTTGATTGGAATCCCTGATTCTTTTTAGCTTGTCCTCGCGTATTAGCGTGAATTTACCGTCCCCTTTCCGTGTATACGGCTTATGCCCGACGGAAAATAATAAAAGCAGGTTAGTATCATCCCGGGAGATTTTAACCCTCTGCAACTGGAATTTTCCTTTCTTACGAGGGGCTATAAAATTCTTTATTTTCCTCCTTATTTTTGATCTCTATAATAACACAAATATTTAATTGATAATTATAAATTTCAAATTTATACAGGGTGTCCCAAAAGAACGTATACACGCTTTAATACCTTATTCTTACTAATTACCACCATTTTAAAATAATGGCTGATTTTAGACTAGACTTTGAAAAACGTAAATATATTTTAAAGTGCTGCCATAAGTGTGAAAACATACTGGAAGTGCAGAGACGATTTAATTAATATATTAATTAAAATATATACTCTTTTTATAATCACGCAAAATGTGTATACATCTTTTTAGGACACCCTGTATAAATTTTAAATTTAGATAAACGTGAATGTTAACTTTGAATTACACGCGGTTGCAGAGGGATTTTAAAAATCGAATTTAATAAAAAATAATTTTGTATTATATATTTTGAGTTTTATAATCGATTGGAATTTTAAATACGAGTTATTAATTAAGTTTTAAAATCATGTATGAGAGTAAAGAAATTCGAATGACACCATGATGCTAGGTAATTTAGTACCTTTAATCACGCGAAGTGTGTATACATTTTTTCGGACACCCTATATATATAATATTAAATAAGTGTGAACGTCAATTTTGAATTACACACGGTTGCAGAGGGATTTTAAAAATCGAATTTAATACAAAATAACTTTAGTATATATATTTTGTGTTTTATAATCGATTCCATCTTTTGAAAATACCAACTATCAATTGAATTTTAAAGTCGTCTATGAGAATAAACAAATTCGAATGACTAGCTGGGTAATTTGGTACCTTCAAACCGAGCAATTTCGCAACCTACTTTTCAAAGTCAGTGGGTCCATGGTTACTCTTTTTTATTACTCGCTTTCAAGTATCGTGTTGAGCCAGTTTGGACAGCATCCGCAGTTCCGAATTGGTTTAATCCACACGTGGAGCATATGGGTCAAAACGTCCCAAGGGAAGACCAACTTCCGTTGACGTTATATTACGATTAGTTTCACATTTGCTTCACTTGTCGCGTAATAAAATTCCACTTTAAAACAGTGTTCAGTATTTGGCGCGCGGCTACCGCCAGAATCCGCAAAAGTTACCCGATAATTAATACCCGCGTCAAAAAGTAATAAACAACGCGATAGTCGTGAGTGCAGAAACGGGTTGCGCGGGAAATATTGTTCTTCCGAAACTACCAGCCACATGCTCTCAGAAATACGAACACATCCTCGTAATATAACCCTGTCCCAAAAAACAAAAAAGAGAGAAATTAAACAGACAACGAATTTTGATTCGTCCATTTAAATCTCACATTGTAAGTATAATTGAGAAGATAACATAGCAATCAGATTAATTGCATGATGGGAAAGTGAGCGATAAGAATCCACCCAGTTGAACGAGAATTAGATCGTCGATTTCCGGTATTATCGCGGAAATCAACGCGATCGTTATCGCCATTTTATCTACCCAGTGATAGTGCCCAACCCGAGAATCTCTCGTTTCCCCGGCGGTTTTCGCAGCTCGCGAACGGAGACTTAGTTTCCGCGAGGACTGCGACCTGTGCACGGCCATTTTTAAAGAACTTCCGTTTTAATTTATTCCCGGAAGCGGACGGATCCCCGCCACGGTCCACCGGGCCACCAGGACAGGACCAGGAGGATTCCTTCGGCTGTTTCCAAGGATCATCAGCGACGATGGGCTGCTGCTGCTGCGCGGACGAGCCCTCGTCCAAGGTGGAGCCTGGGGTGAGGATTACTTTTTACCATTACGTTTGTTGAAATTTCCGCTTGAATATTGCAATATAAAACTCCTGGTCTCGACTCGGTGCCATGTTTAACTTGGATAGAGCATCTCCGAGGGGGTTAGGTCGCTGGACTCGTTTGAATTTCGCGCGCGTTTCCGCGAGAGACCCTACGCGTAATGGCGGACGATGGTCATTCGCGGGGAAATTATTGGCCGTTCACTATGCATATGTACGCTTTAATTATTACGCGTGATGCCCGTGGCTTGATATTAAATTATGCCGCAAGTTCAGGTACGTGTCTCGCTAACAAAGTGGGCTGACATTGAATAATTAATCGCTTCCTAAAGTTCGCGTCTGAATGAAAGCCGACGCGGAATGGTAATTAGGGCCTGGTCAAGGTAATCGAAAGTAGTTCTCGAGAACCACAGGTGTAAGTCGGGGCCTTGTGCAACAAATATCTCGTTTCGTAATCGTTGCGGTTGCATCAAGGTTACATAGAAATTGCAGCTTTATCTCGGCCGAGTGACATGCTGATATTGACGAATGCGTTTAAGGGGATTCGAGGGGATTAGCGAGACCATGACGTAAAATATTTTTGTGTAAAATTTATTTATTTTTTATATTTTTGCGATTGCAAGATCCCCGAAATTTAATCCGCGTGGCTCTCGCTCTCTTTTCTCGCGGGATTAGCGCGGTCGGCCATCTTGTCAATGCAGTGCACGGCAGAAATTCGCGCAAATTTTGAAACGCAATATCGTTTGAACGTTTAAATCAATTAGATTAATGAATTATGCTTTCAAATTCGATACTAGAAATTTATATATATAGATAATTTTCGAAATTATAGAATTTCTATGGTGTTTTCTTATTATATATTAACCTTCTACACTCGACGAATTTTTGACCAGAAAATACTAAAAATTCGAAGATTTTCTACTATGAAGTTGACGATATATTTTTAAGCAGTAAATAAGAAATCGTATAATAATTAACACGTACAATTATTTAATTTAAATACCTCGCACACTAGTACATTATTTTTAATTTCATATATTAAGTAATATCGATCTTCAAAATTTTTCTAATTTCTGCGAGGCATTAAAGTCGAAGTTTATATCGATAGAGTCTTAAATAAATTAATAAACAAATAAAATAAATAAATTGTGGTTTCATAAATAAGATAAATATTCATCCTTAAATATTTTAAAAAATAAATCCTCATCCTCCAAGTATAACGCATCTCTACACATTAGAATTTAGTAATTCTAACCTCAAAATCACTCCTTGACGAACCAAAACCACAATCCTAACTGTAAATCGTAATATTATACATCTTTTATTAGCAAACCTGGTAAACAGAGCCTAATTAAATTCCTTAATAAAGAGAACGAGTGTTATTCGTAATATTCCCCAGTTATAAATTTCTTTTACCAAGATACCGTTATCGAACACGGTGAACATTTCAGTTACACTCGCTGGAGCCCTGTTGTCCTCGTTACGAGCGAAAATTTCGATCACATTGCCACGAATACGCGTATGTACCATGGTTCAGCGGGTCTCGTCTTTCCCTTGGCCTATTATGCAAATCTTATTACGCGAACAAAGAACAATTATGCCAGGTTTAAGCGATAATCTCACGTGCGATTAACGTATCTCTGTACGGCTCGCTAAATATCCCGGAGCCGGGGCACTACGAATAACCAGGACTGGGTCACGGGTAACAGAAACTGGAAAAAAGAATTCTAAACGTCGAAACCGAATGCGCGAGAAGAAATGGCGGGCGTTGCGCGGATAAAGTGGGGCCAAAGGAAATTCACTCGTGGAAAAGCTTTTTAACTGTCTCTTATTGCTCTCATCGGCAAACGAACGGAGATTTTTCGTGCGAAATTGTGTCTTTGAAGGGGTGGAAATAAATAAATTGACTCGAAGTGGCGATAGATCGTGCGTGCATACATTGGATTGGCAAGAAAGTACTTTCGGTTTTTTAGTGTGAAATAAAACTCAATTTTTTCTATACAGCAAATGAACTTTAATCGGTCAAATATCTTTCATTCTATTCGATGACCCTTTGCCATCTTTCTGGTAACTTCATGATCCCGTGCTCATAGAATTTCTGCTCCTTATCTGCAAAAAACTTAACCAAGTGCGTAAATCTCAGAAGGTCGACCAGAACGTTGTGAGTATCTTTCAGTGAAAAATCTTCAGAACGAAATTTTTTAAACTAATTCTGACACGTGCGTTCTGTTAAACAATCAACACCATAAACTTCTCGTATCTCTTTGCGAGCCTCAGCCGCGTTCTTGCCTTTATGAAAATAAAAAAGTAAAATGTGTCGAAAATGCTTATTTTTGCACTCCGTGTTAAGACTGACCGTGAACTGACAGTTATAAACGAAATTACACGGAATTTCACGAAATAGCAACCTAAAGGTATCGACTACCACATCTGAAAAGAAAAAAATTCTAACATTGACAAAAGAATAACTAAACGAGCATAACATTATTTACTGATGCAAACCGAAATTACTTTCTTGCCAACCCAATATATACATTCACGCAGCAGTTTCTCGATAAAATAGTACAAAAATGGTAAGGGAAGGAAAGATATAAATTCGACCATAAATGGACCTCCGGAATGAAATAAAGAAAAGGGAAAAAAGGGAAGAGCCGTGAAATCTAAATGGGAAATTTGTCCCTGGTGGCAAATTTCACGAATGGCGGTACCGTATGCAACGTGTTAAATAGCACTTTCTTACGACGGTAAATGCAGATAAATGGTTTAATTATAACTGTTTGTTCCGGCAGTATTCGAAAATGTAATTGAGCAAGGGGTGGTCTTAAACTGGTGATCACTAGCGTGCATGGAAACCGGGCATTCACGCTGCGATGAAACTGCTGTTTTTGTGCTTATGTATCCTCTAATTGTACGGTTACCAATGGCGCCGTTTTGATGTACAGGGTGATTCGGAAATAACGAGATGGTTAAAATTCAATTTTCCACTGGAGTACCAAACGAGATAGCGACATTGTTGTAGCGCGTGTTGAATATAATATCGGGCCCCGAGCAACGTGAGACGAATAAAGCAGGCTTGTCTTATTTTATCCTGTTAATGAAAATAAATAATCGCGGCGTAAAGGCACTACACCGGCGTAACGGGGGTAATTAAGTTTCGCCGTGATTACATTGTCCCGTTAACGGGAAAGCAATAATTATTGGATTCTGCATTCGTATCGCAATTGACGATTAAATTAACGAGTCGTAATCGAGACTTCGAGGAATCGTCTTCGTAATTATTTAATAATTCCAAAATTCTTGCGACACGTTGCATTCGTTTCCGAATTTTCGATTCATTTTTTCCGATATTTAATTTATATTTTACGTTTCAGGGTATTTACTTTGGTGCTTAAACAGCTCGACGGTTCGCTCTTTCGTTTATAATGCCTCGTGTAATAATAAAGTTTCCGTTTGGGTGAAGGGAACGTGCCGGAAGAAAGGAAAGGTTGATGAAGTTTTTAATTATGTTTGAAAAATTTGCATAAAAACACGCGTATTAGTTTCTCGAAACCGTTGAAGATTAACATATAGTATCGGACGAGTTTCCGGGCCGCCATTCTTTTAAACGAACTTTCGTTATGAAATTTCACCGTTTCCCTTCATCGAGATTAAACGAATACCTTTCAACAATTTTATTTTTAATTTTTTAATTTTTGACGGTATTAGAATATTAGAGAAGAGAAGTGAAGAAATTCTTCTACAATAGTAATGTCAATGGTTACTCATTTATTAAACGATTAGATTTCATAAACGTGGGATGTTCGTTTCCCCGTATCTTTTATCTCCCATTGTAAATTCAATTAATCAGATATCGTCGGATAGATAAGATTGAAAATTTTTACCAATATTTATAACAATTTTGTTTACATACCTTTAACGGCTAATGCAACGACGTAGTTGCATAATTAACCTCGGTAATAGCTTCACTGGCACACAGTGTTAAATCGACTTAACGACTCAACCAACTTACTGCAGTGGCTTGACTCAACAACTTCGTAAATGTCGAATCCGACTCGACACAGAACGACCTAGGGTTTAACAGTGACGAGTTGCGTTACGATGTACTTCAAAGACGAGAATCACGCGATCATAATTACATTTAATGCGTTTTAATGCGCACGAGATTCGAATAATTTCGAAAATTTGGATCGAATTTTATTTAATTGGGTAAAATAAATTTTATTTAATTCGGTGGTTGATGGAAATTAAATAGCTAATTAATATAATTTTTCGTTATTAAATTGTAGTGCAAAGGGTAGTTTGGTTCGGAATCTTAATATTTTTTCCCTTTCATTCGATCGAATTGTTAGGTTTATTCGAAACGTCATTTGACGTCACTGGTTACGAAATTGCAAATGGCGGGAGTTTCGCGGCCGCGCCATCTGTCGCCGCGCCTAACCTCAAATGTGCCGCGTGCAACGAACTGTTGATGGGCCAGAGACGCTTTGGTTTTCGACTCTCGGTCTCGATGGCAATTAACCGGGACGAGGAAGAGGCGTAAAGTAAGAATGGTGGACGTCGCGGTCTGATCGACACGAGAGGGCGATGATGTTATCAATGGAACGTAATAGCATGGCTGTAATAAGGCGAACCCGACGAGGGGAGAGAGTGAGAGAGGAATTTAATTACGGACGGCACGCTAATGCAAGGTCACCGTCGAACAGTCTAATTAATTTAGGGTGGTGGCTGTGCGATCGTTCGACTTTAACAGGGTTACCAGCTCCGTTGCGTCAGGGCGGAACGGCGCGGATTCCGCTGAAAGCAGTTCGGCCACGCTCGATTTCACCGGGCTGAAAATTTATCAGCAAGCTGACCGCGATATTGACTCGCGATAGATTCGACTTTTTCGATCGGGGCGGGGAAAGACGTTCACGTCTGAGCAACTACGTCTCTCTTGCTTTTCCTTTTTGCGTTGGGTACCTGCCTTTCTATAGTTATTAGTTATAAGGCAATAATTATTAGCTATAAACTATTATTTCTGAGTTTTAAATTCTTAGTTCTGAATTCTAAGTTCTAAGTTTTGAATTCTGAGCTCTGTATTCTAAGTTCTAAGTTCTAAATTCTAAGTTCTGAGTTTTCAGTTCTAAATTTGGAGTTCTGAATTCAACATTCTAAGTTCTAAGTTCTAAATTCTAAATTCCGAGTTCTAAGTTCTAAATTCTGAGTTCTAAATTCTAAGTTCTAAGTTCTGAATTCTAAGTTCTGAGTTCTAAATTCCAAGTTCTGAGTTTTCAGTTCTAAATTCAGAGTTCTGAGTTTTCATCTTAGTTCTGAATTCTAAGTTCTAAGTTTTGAATTCTGAGCTCTGTATTCTAAGTTCTAAGTTCTAAATTCTAAGTTCTGAGTTTTCAGTTCTAAATTTGGAGTTCTGAATTCAACATTCTAAGTTCTAAGTTCTAAATTCTAAATTCCGAGTTCTAAGTTCTAAATTCTGAGTTCTAAATTCTAAGTTCTAAGTTCTGAATTCTAAGTTCTGAGTTCTAAATTCCAAGTTCTGAGTTCTAAGTTCTAAATTCGGAGTTCTGAATCCTCAGTTCTAAGTTCTATATTCTGAATTCTACGTTCTAAGTTCTAAGTTCTAAATTTTAAGTTCTAAGTTCTAAGTTCTAAATTCTGAGTTCTAAGTTCTAAGTTCTAAATTTTGAGTTCTAAGTTCTAAGTTCTAAATTCTAATTTCTGAGTTCTAAGTTCTAAATTCTAAGTTCTGAGTTCTAAACTCCAAGTACTGAGTTTTGAGTTCTGAATTTCGCGTTCTAAATTCTAAGTTCTGAGTTTGCTGTTTTCTAAATTCTGAATTATTAGTTATTAGTTGCCCGTTGTACGCTATTAGTTATTAGTTATTAGCCATTATCTTATTCGTTCTCTATTCTGAGTTCTCAATCCTGATATTTAGGTTATACATCCCGGTTTTGAAACGAGATTTTCACGCAAACGATGAAAGTAAGAAAAAGGAAGAATATGAACTACGATTGGCAAAAACGTAGAATCTAACATCAAAACGAGTGACATTTCCCTAGATGTAATAAAACGTTTCGGGATTTCCAATTTATGTGTCTAAGAGCGTGACGGAGAAATAAGATTGAAAGCGTGACTCGCATTTTTCATTTTACGTCTTGCATGCCAGCGAATGAATGTTTGCGTAAACAGGTCGCGAATTAATTATCCTGGAAGTATAATAGAGGGTTCGTATACTAGAGTTTTTATGATATTTTTGAGTAATAAGAGAAGCAGTGGAAACAAATAGTGCAGAGACATTCGGGTTGTAACACGCGAAGGTAATAAAGATGAAATTAATTAAGGTTTAATTAACGGCTAAGATTACAGATTACAGAGCAGACTTTCGCTGGATGGAACTCGTTAGAAGATTGTATCGAGTTTATTTTCAACAGGAGACTAGTTCCTGTCGGTCCGATCTATTTTATTTTTCCTTTAAACAAAAGTATTATAATTTCCAAGAAACATTAATACGATTTCTCACAAAACTATGAAAACATAATTAACTCGAGAATCTTCCCATATTTCTCATCTCCTCTGATTAAATTTTACCTTCCGAAAAGCATATCGCTTTCTAGAAAATTACTTGGATAATTTTGAAAAAGTATACGTAATTGTTTAACGAAACGCGAAAACCTAATCGACCCGAAGAAAAGTCGGAAGGTAGTAATAAAAAGAGTTTCTAACCTTCCTGTACCTGTATATACAATCCTCTCGAGATGGTGGTCGTTGGTTTCCAATGCACTCGCGTTCAATTCCTGTAAATAAAATATATTAATTTAAAAAGATACATTAATAATTCCGAAGAAAATTCGATATAAAAATGTAATTGACTCGAAAAGAACAGCTCGATGACAAGAAAACAATTTCCAACCTCTTCGTGGCTGTCAAATCCTTTTCCATTCATCCTACTTTACTTCCCTAAAGAATTATACTATTTAAAATAAAATACATTTATATTGAAAAAGAAAAGGAATTACACGTTTCTTTAACATGTCAGGAAAACCTAATCGACACGAGGAAAACCGGAGAATAATACAACGAAGTCAATTCCCAACCTTCACGTGACTGCCAAACCTCTGTCCATCCAATCCCCTACTATTCTTCCACGAAAAATACATTTATATCGAAAAAAGGAATTACACGTTTCTTTGACAAGACACGAGAACCTAATCGACTCGAGGAAAACCGGCGAATAATACAAAGAAATCAATTCCCAACCTTCACGTGACTGTCAAACCTTTGTCCATCCAATCCCCTGCTATTCCTTTACAAAAATACACCAATTTCGAAAAAAAAGAAAAAGAAAAAAGGAAACATTTTTATAAAAGAAATAAATGGAGAAATTACACGTTTCTCTGACGAAAAACGGGAACCTAATCGACTGGAGAGAAACCGGAGTAAATTAAAAAGGTTAGGTAAGCGGACAGTTTCAGTGTCCCCGAACGAAAATTCAGAAATTCGCCCGACTTTTCGGCGAAATACAGGTAACCCTCTTATAACACGATAGATAGGTTCCTAGAAAATGCCGTGTTATGTGAAATCGTGTTATATGAGATCTAGAGCCAGTACAAAAAGAGAGGTTACGTTTCGAAAACTTACTAAAAACAAATTCTTTTCTTAACCCTTTGCACTTGGCGATTTTTTCTTTCCAGAAAAATAGTCATTCGAAGACTTTCTGCCATGACGTCGACGATATTTTTAAAACGGCAAATCAGAAGTCGTATGCAAATTGAGACTAATTAAAATTATCTCAATTAACATTATTTTGCTTCGACATTCCACGCATTGGGTAATTGTAAATTTGATATATTAATTAACATCCATCTTTAGAATCCGATTAAATGGCGACTGAGAGGCACCTCTCGAGTACAAAGGGTTAATTCTACATAAATAACTTAATTTTTATTCAAAATATAAACGCACGTACAACACGAAGCAAAACAAAAGAACAAGAATATTATTTTAATTTAACGCAACTTTAATTTAATAAATTTCTTCGTTGTCACTGCATGTGTAGAAGTACAGTATTGCACAAAAGTTTTTGCAATTTTCTTATCTTATTATCGTTCTATGTTAAAGCGAAACCGTGTTGTAGGAGGGTTCCCGAAAATTATGAATCGTGTATTTCATTTTGCCGCTTTTAACGCGAAAACCGCTAACTCGCGCATTTAGCAACGAACGAAACGATCCATCGTTCACCATCGGACCAAAAACGTGTGTAGACCCCGGGAAACTAACGCTGGCCGCGAATTCGATTTGCTCGTTCGGCGACGGATATCACCGAGGACGAGTTTGCCGAGGATATCGAGAAAAAGTGAAGCTTGTCGGTGTTCGCCGTTTCCGTAAAACAGTCACGACCTGTCCATGCTTTCCGTTTCAGACACCGGAACACGGGGAGATGTCGTCGAGGCACTCGGACCAGGTCTTCGTCAGCGATCGATCCTGCACTGATATCCTGCCTCTGCTCGTGCTGATCGGCGTGGTCGTTGGTTTCGTACGTTGCCCTCATTCCTCTCTTCTCTAACCGTCTTGCGTTTCCGTTTTGGAAACGTCCCGGCAGAAAGTACATGCAGTTTTCCTGTCGCCCGTGCAGGGTTTCCTGTTGAGCGTCGCGGTGGAGAAAGGGGACATTTACCGCATTATAAATGGCTACGATAACTGTGCGAACGTTTGTGGCCGTGTCACGCTGCACGAAATCGATCCCCAGTTCGCGTGCAAGGGCGCAGACATGACGAAAAATGGGTAAGCATGAACCGTTTATAAACCGTTTATCAATAAAGCCTGTTCACGTGCGGGGTACGAGTAACGCTTGGGAAATTGTCCGCCATGTTTTTTCGTTCACCGTGTCGCAGTCAGTTCGATTCGATGGGTACGCTATGAAGCTGGCCGCGGAACGATCTTCGCAAAATGGCCGACGGCGGTAGTATATCACCGGAAGGCTCGATAGAGGTGGCCGGCTTCGCTGTAACGGTCCGCGCCGCGATTTTTCAACCGTATGCGACAATGTGATAAAAAAAGTCATTAATCTGAATTTATTCGCGTCGTGTGCGCGATATACAACGGGGCACCGAGATTTTGCAAATGTTTGTTCCTCGCAACGCGTTCGAGACTGTCTCGAGTCATCCTCGTGGCCGTGCAGCCTCGTTGCTAGTCCTCGCTCGTTACGCGGGTTTCTACAGGTGTAAAACGTAATTCTCATTAAGTGTCGTTGATATCTGATATATGACGGAGGTAGCTCGTATTTATCAAGTCGAATGATAATCGTCTAGAAACTTACACGCTTACTGGGAAACCCAGAAGCTCTACATCACTCGACTTGGAAATCCGTGTCTACAGATTTTTAGTTCATTTCTTTATCTGTGTTTTATCGTATTGGGATTATGGATTCTAATTGTAAAATAACTACGATATATATATGTATATGTTTCTTCGAGTGCTTTTCTTAAGAGGCTGACCGATTCGCAAAAAAGTGTCAAGAGGGTACGTGACGCGGTTCGCCTTTCCCCCAATTTTCCCCCCAATTTTTATCCAATGTTTATATAAACATTCGTTCTTGGAATTTAGATTTTATCTTATTTTAGATTCATTTTTGTTTACAACTAAACTTATCTTTTCAACGCCCACCTTTTTGACACCTTCTTGGCATATAGTAATTTATGGATCTCGGTATTACCATCTTTTAAATATTCTATTAGGATTATAAGCTCTAATTGTAAAATAAATCCGATATATATATTCTCTATGCAAGTCTTTTATTACTCAAGGAAGGTATATGTTTCTTCGGGTGACACCTTCTTGGTATATAGTGAGTTTTATGGATCTCGGTATTACCATCTTTTAAATATGCTATTGGGATTATAAGCTCTAATTATAAAATAAATCCAATATATATATTCTCTATTCAAGTCTTTTATTACTCAAGGAAGGTATATGTTTCTTCGGGTGACACCTTCTTGGCATATATTAAGTTTTATGGATCTCGGTATTACCATCTTTGAAATATTCTATTGGGATTATGAGTTCTAATTGTAAAATAACTCCGATATATATATATATATTCTCTATTCAAGTCTTTTATTAATGAAGGAAGGTATATGTTTATTTGAGTGGTTCTCTTGAGAGACTGAAAAATTCGCAAGAAAGTGTCAAGAGGGTACGTGACGCGGTTCGCCTAAACCCCCAATTTTTATTCAATATTTATATAAACATTCGTTCTCGAAATTTCGATGTTAAAAACTATTTCTTGATACTGTATATCCTAGATTGATTTTTGTCTACAACTGAACTTATCTTTCCAACATCCACCTTTTTGACACCTTCTTGACATATAGTAAATTTATGGATCTCGGAATTACCATCTTTTAAATATTCTATTGGGATTATGAGTTCTAATTGTAAAATAACTTCGATATATATATATATTCTCTATTCAAGTCTTTTATTAATGAAGGAAGGTATATGTTTGTTTGAGTGGTTCTCTTGAGAGACTGAAAAATTCGCAAGAAAGTGTCAAGAGGGTATGTAACACGGTTCGCCTAAACCCCCAATGTTTATCCAGTGCTTATATAAACATTCGTTCTCGGAATTCAAATCTTATAAACTGTTTATTGACACTTTATATCTTAGATCGATATTTATCTACAATTAAACTTATCTTCTCGACATATCGTATTTTATTAACGTAAGATTAATCGAGATTACTTTTTTCCCGGGAACAAGTGTCGATACACGTATATCTAATTAAAACGGAAGATTCTAATCGTTGCTAACTCTTTCCTTGTAACCGGCTAGAATCTAGATTACAGAGAGTTACGATTCACTTCTGTTGAAATGGAAGCCTATCTACGTATACCCATCTATCTCCGGATCGTAATTACCCGTTTATCTCGTATTTATCTAAAAGACCTTTTACGATTCATAGTTGCGAAACGTAGTTCGTATTTCAACACACGGTTCGAGGGAAATCTGGTAACGTACGTTTAACAGCGGAATAATCGCACGATCACACCAAATCAGACCTCTAATCTGATCTACTAGTAAACGCGGCAGTGCAAGCATCGTCTTACTCTGGCTGAAATTAATACCGACTATTCCCCGCTGACTTTCAATCCATTCTATCCCCATAAACATTAACGGTAATCCGTGTATCAACAATCCATCGAAACACACGCGTATATATGCATCTATGTGCACAGCAGAGCTCGATGACCCATGGCCGTGGACATGCCCGCGCGATATCCCAGCCTCTCCAAACACGTCGCCATCGTTCCCGAAGGATTAATAATTCGTCGACGTATTAACATCGGGGCTCGCGCGCGATAACAATGCCGGATTCAATATTCGCGCGTCGACGCGCGAGTATGAATGAAAACAAGTTCGCAACAATGAGAGCCCGCTAACGATTAATAATTCTTCCGGCCGCGAGGCGTTTCGCTGATGACCGCGCGAATATGCGAAATTGCGTTCGGGTTACCCGATTAACACATTGCGTACCTCTCGCGAGTTTCCTCGTGCTCCGCGCGCCATCTGTTAACGCGTTCACGACCGATCACGGGAGTCGCCATGTTGAGTCGCCCGAACGTTGACAACCGGTCCTGGAGATTTTCGTTTTGCTGGGCATTCTTCCGTGAAAAAATTCGTACAAATATTATTTCGTTGTAGTATAAGAGGAATACTATCCCACAAAAATACTATATCCCATTTTAGTAACAGACTTGATGCCATAGGTTGTTTTACGCAGAGTTGAGAGCTAATGTTTAATTATATGCCCAATCCTATATGAAAAGATGGAGATGAAATACCTGGTCGTCAACGTTTTTGGGGCACGGTGGGATTAAAAGTGTCCCACCTTTTTGATAATAAAAGTAATGCACGCTATTGCAATAAAATATCCTTTATTAGTAAAAATGTACCAATTTTGTTTCATTTAAAAGGCAATAAAATTTCTGTGCAACGTGGATCTATTTTATTATCTGAAATTCTGTACCCCAAAGAGTCGAGGACCGCTCACGAGTTTGCTCGAGTTCCGCACGCCATCCATTACGGACCTCAGATGCCAACACACTGTCTTGTCAAAACGTGCGGTCCCTGGCGCATAAATAATTGAGAATTTCTATGTGTTATTACATATCTACGCAATGTATTAAAACCTGCAACCCCTCACCCCCAGGACCCCCCACTGGCGCGAAATCTCAGCGAGAAACTGAGCAAGGGTTGCTCGAGATGATGCGCTGTTAATTAGCGCGAACGCGTTGCGTCTGAATTCGCGGGCCCACTGGAAAATTGCCGAATTTCCGCGCGGACACTTTTCGTTAACGCCGTTGCTCATTTATTATTCATTTCCCACAGGTACCAGCTGATAACCGTGGCCCCGAACGGCACGAAATCGCGAGAATGCGTGAGAAGCTGCACCACTGAGTTAGTATTCCATGATGCACGGGATCCCGCGCCACTTCCGGTCGCGGACCAGGTCAATTGGTGGTCTACGTTGCACGAGAATCCGAGGATGTCCATTCGAGTTTTCGACAGACGTCGAGACCAACGAGATGTTTAACCCTCTGTAACTGGGCACGATTTGGAAGGGTGTACTATTGGTTGGAGAGATTGAGAATTACGTTAACCCTTTGCGAACGGGTCCGAAGTTAACCGTAGCATGTAGTCTAGTTGCTGTCACGATGGGCATTTCAAATTGTCAGTGCACATTTCTGCTTAGTAGATAGCACTCCAAGATGTCAAATTCTAGACATAGATAACCATAGCGATGTGAGACATATATAGGACTTTCGGTCCTATCAGTTGTTTTCGCCAAACGCATATACGAGTTCCTCGGCAAAATTGATGATAGTCCGCAAAGGGTGAACACTTTGACTGCCACGTTGGTCATATATGACTGGTCACGGTCTCTCTTGTGACGCCATAGTGATTATTGGTGACGGGAGCGCTTGAATTACTTACAATTGTAAAAATTGATCGAAAATTGACAGTTAGTAGACTGTCAATCGTCACCAAGGCGCCACCAGTGCTCACCCGTGACTGCCAATAAGATAAACGCTCCATTGTATCAGACCGTTGTCTTATATCGCCAATTTACTATTATTTTCCCATTATATGCTTCGAATAATCAAAATACACGTGATTTCGGCGTGGCAGTCACAGGGTTAATGCGTCAGATTCACGGTGAAAATTGTAGATATCTGAATGAAAGTAACAGAAAGTAGTCCTTTGGATTTTATTTTAGGATAAAAATCTTCATAGCTGAAGTTTCATTTTCAAAATGGAATTTTTGGCTCGAGCACGTCTTTCCTATGGATTGCTATTGTTCCTTGTTTGTACGTGTATGTGCGTGTGAGCTGTTGGACTTGGGAGTAGTATAATACTGTGCAGAGATGAGAACTACTTTTAGATTCTTGATAATGTATGCTGATATAATGGTAGGGTGGATTACATCGTCACGGTTTGGATCTTGTGTTAATGTTTCCGTGTCTACGCCAATGCTTCGCTCCTCGTCGCTGTATATATTTTGCTCGTTTCCCTTGTCATTTCACCTTGTATGGCCCTGTTCGTAGATACGATCTTAATAATGAAAATTACGAATGATGAAAATTATAGTTATGTAATTTGTACTTCTGATTGCTCAGAGAAAATATTATACTGTCTTATACTGTGGGCAATTATTGGTATTTCTACCATTTTCTCATCTAAGCACGGTGTGTATATTTTTTGAATTTCATTTCGTTTATTCATTATCGTGCTAGTATGTTCTATCACTATGTCGTTATATTATATTATTGGTTTCTAATTTTTGGCTCATAATAAGGGACACTGAGAGCTTGGAATTATTTTTTCCACGGAGAAGATTGTAGTTACAGAGGGTTAATTGCAATAATACAACACAGTGATTACGTGCAACGTTTGACACTTCGGTGACTTCTTAATGATTGTCATATGGTCCTCAGCATTTTTATTTTTCCCATAGCCAAGTAGCGATCCTGAATAGATGCATACCTAAACAGATCCCAGAGACTGCCATTTCTTTCCTGAGGAAGCTTGGTCTGGATAATTTTTACGACGTGAGTATACTTATTGGAACTTGAATTAGATCAAGTGTGCTTACTATTATGACAATACTGTTCAACGCGAATTTTAATCTATGTTCATTTACTTTTCTGAACACGAATCCGTAATCAAAATTGCTCTATCATCCTCAGTTTTTGGGAATTGTGAGTTTTTCTAAAAACGCAAGAGCAGTGTTCATAATTATAATTATTTGTGATTCTTAATAATTATAACTGGTCATAAAAATTGAAAGATTCTAATGTCGAGTGTACTATTTACGCACTATTCTTACGTTTTAATGAACAATTCGTTACCTACCACGAATTTTCTACAAGGTATCGTATTCTGTAAATTTCTAGGAAGAAGAAATCATGAAGCAAAATTGTCAAAACAGTTTCCATTTTGATTAAATCGAGAAAATATTCGTAGGTAATGCGTATACAGGGCCAGGCAGCCATTGCTCGTTTCTCTAGTCTCGACAGTGCCGTAGCTACGTGTAATCCGAGTACCAAGTATAATGGAAATAACATATGACAGTCTAAGAAAAGAAAAAGAATACGATTTTGTTATAAAATTTTGAAAAATGAACGAAGTTCAGAAGGAACTTCGAAAATTTATAATGAATAGCCAATATTTTAAACTTGGGGCGTAGCTCTTAGCTTGGTATCGTTTTCCAAAAATTAGTTTTTGGAAAAGGATACCAATTACCAGGTCTCACCACGTGGAGGTGGCTATGCATCGAGACCCGACATGCGCCCTAGTGGCGTAACCTACTGGCGCTATCCGTATCACAGATAGCCTAATCTAACTTGGAGCGAATTAAGTTAAAGTGACTTTACTGACACTTTATTTTATTTCGTGTCTTACAAAGGGGGTTTCGCGATTATTCGAAAAACCGACTAGCCTACGCGATGCACTCCCGTGTACAAGCAACTTCACACCTCGGCAGCCTCCCGATCGGGCCTTGCCCACCCTGCCACCGCCGACCTCGCCATGGCTTACTCGATGACCCAAGGCAGCCAACGAACCAGGGAAACACCCAGAGTCAATTCGAGGGTCCTATGCGAGGCCTAACAGTCGGAATCACGCGCATGCTCCATACCCCGGCTCTATGCAAACATAACCACATAGCCACCAAGTGCTAGAGGGGCAGGCAGGCACGCTCTTGCAATGATTCCGACTGCAGGGCCCATCCCCCGGTCGTGTGCGCAGATTGGCACCCAGGACGACTAAGGTCGACGGACCCTCGTGTTGCACCAGGTGCCTCCCCAGCCCGAGGGCCACCAGAGATCCCGACGCATGACGAGATTGACAGTGGCAGAAATGAGTGTCGGAGACGAGTCGTGAGAATGACTTACGAGGCATGGAGTTGTCGAGTACACGGGAAGTACGTCGCATAGGCTAGTCGATACTTAAGAATGATCGCGATTATCGCGAGAACAATTATGTTCTATTTGGTAAACGAGAGGGTAAGAGAATTGATATATTCCGCTCCAAGTTAGGTGGCTTATCCTTGAACGGATAGCGCGCACATGAAACTTAGTCTATGGATTTATCTTATCCTCCTTATAACTACTTAGATCTAGACGCACGCATCCCGCGTCGTCCAGCAATGTCTAGAAAAACCTGAAATGCTGAAAAGGAACAGATTAGTATTAGATTAGTAAAATATAATAAAAGCGAAACAAATATAAACCACAGTAGTCAACCAAATAGAATAAACAATGAGAAATGGAAAACCTAACGATTAGACATGAAAAACCTAACGATGAGACATGAAGAACCCAACGATGAGATATGAACAAACCAATGATGAGACATTCGAATATTATACGAAATATTCGAATGGTCAAATAAAAATAAATAGAAACCAAAAAAAAATCTGGAAAAATAAAAAATTATTAAAATCTGGAAAAAAATAAAATAATTAGCACCTGAAAACAAAAATAAAATTATTAATACCTGAAAACAAAAAAAGAATTAGTAAATGGTTTAATGGGGTGGGATGAGGATGGGGTGGCTAGCCCCAACCTCACTTCGGACCCCCACCCCTCGCGCACAAAGAAATTTAGATGTTACACTTCCGAAGTCGAACCGACAAATGACTTCTGCTGCGTCGCGTCGCCCTTTATATAGTCTCCAATCGACCGAGCTCCCCACCCCGATCGAAAATTTTCGAACTTCGCCAATTTTATTAATTATTAATTTTCCACTCTTATAGTGAATAATTTATTAATTTTTTCACTTTTATTATAGATATACGTTGCGAATAATTTGTTAATAACAATATTAACTTGTTATTAACAATCGGTGTGATAATTTATAAACTTTTTGCAAATTGTAAGTACATTTTTACACAAGTACGTCATTATTTCAAGTAATAGCCAATAATTTTTTTAATTTTCTTACTTTTATTATAAATATACGTTGTGGACAATTTGTTATTAACAATCAGTCTAATTATTTATAAACTTTTTGCAAATTATAGTTACATTTGAACACAAGTACGCTATAAATTCATATATTAGTCAATAATTTATTAATTCTTTTGCCTTTATTATAAATTCACATTGCGAATAATTTGTTATTAACAATAAATTTGATAATTTACACATCTTTTATAAACTATAACTGCATTCGCGTTTCCATAGGATAAATTTCTACGATACGTACGTACGTGTGTCTCAAGATAATTTTATTTTCACTATATTTTATTTTCCCAACGTTCTTAATCTTTACGTAATCCTTCGTTTTAAATAAAAATCAAGCTTTTTTAGAAAAACTCGCATTTTTCGAAAACTCCGGGTAATAAAACACTCTCTTACAGGTTCATATTCGAGAAAATAAGTTCTATCAGAATCACCTGTTGGATATTACAGATTAGAGCAAAAGTTAATATCTCTTGGACACTGTAATTAATCTTCCATGAGAAATATAACGATACTTATTATTATTATTATACATTTTCAAATATTTTTCTAACAAGTGAACGAGCTCTCATAAGAGCGTAAAAGAATATCGTAGATTGTTTTAACTTCTACTCAACGTCAGGTTCATTCTACTCTCCGAGACACGTTCAAAAACAGATTCTTCTTTTCAGGAAGCCTCCAGGGATATTGGCGTTGCTTGGAAGGAACTGGTCTACTTATTGCTGATCGCTCTGGGTATGCTTTCCTTTCTCTTATTTCTTTCGTAAAATCTCTCTTTAATACCAGTTTCTGTTATTCTCCCTTTTCCTTTCGTCTTCAGCCATTTCACTGGGTATCTTAATCGCCTTTCGTTACATGGTGCAGTGGGTCGTCTACATCGTTCTGATCGGCGTTATTTTGGCCTGCGTCGGTGGTTCAGCGTACCTCTGGTAAGCTTCCACGGTCTCCTCGGATTCATTTATGCGCGTGAAAAAAATGTGGGGCCATCAATGGTCCTCGTTATTTCTGATGAAGAAGATTCATCATTGAAATTGCATTACCGACTCCCCTCAACAGAGAACGTTATGTTTGCGCAGGCTGGCGTGGTATGCAGAGAAAAAGGCGGTAGAGGCGGGAGAAATACCGGAAGATGACTCGAGTCAACAGGCTTACTTCATCTACGCTATTATACTCTCGACTATTACGGTAAAACGTCTTGTCACGTAAATGATCCTTTCAAATAGGTCGAATATGTCCTCGAATCATTTGCGAATCTCTCTTTGTTAGTGTAAAACTGCTTGTTACGTTATTTTGAAAAATACTCCAACGAAACGAATCGTATTATGATTATATTCGAATAATTTTTGGATACTCTGTTAATTAACAAGAAAATTTCATTAATTTTCTGTAGCCTCTCAGTCGCCATTTAATCCGATTCTAGAGATGGATGTTAATTAGTATATCACATTTACAATTACCCAACGATGCGTGGAATATCGTGGTAAAATAATTCTACGTCTTAATTTGCATACGATTTCTTATTTACCGGTTTGGAAATATCGTCGACTTTATGGCAGAAAATCTTCGAATTACTATATTTTTAAAATTGTCGATTGCAAAGAGTTAATAAATATTGTACATGTAACAATTAAACAAATTTACGTGCTTTATTCTATACCGCATTTTGCATAATGCCTCGTTATTTTAGTGGAAATACATATTTTTCGGAATTAAATTTGTCATAAAACATGTTTTAGCGGATTCAATAAATATGTCTGCGTGTACTATTTATGGCACGGAACGTGTTAAGACAGCGCTCAGAGTTAGGACACTAAATGGTAATTTTGGTACTTTTTTACGAATCATTAATGTACAATTTAATATGAAACGGAATGATTCGCTGGATACTTTTGACAGTCACTGTAAATATCAGAAATGTCTGCTATTTAACGAGCCCATATTGACGTTACTAATTCGACATAATTTCCAGGTCATCACGCTTCTGATCGTACTGGTGATGAGAAAAAGAATCGCCCTCGTGATGCAGCTGTTCCGCGAGGCGGGAAAGGCTGTTTACGCAATGCCAGCCCTCCTTCTTCAGCCTATATACGTAAATATTTGATAAGACTAATGTACACAGGATGAGGCAACATTTTCGTTCATCTGAAGCATTTTTCCTGTTTTCTGATAAACAACGTTATAGCATATCAAAGAATTCAAAGCAGCTTTCAGATTTCATTTTCTTTTTCCTCGTGTGAAATGCAGCAGAGTTTCTTATCTTTGTGTTCATCTGTTTGCATGCTTCTTGTTGCTTCCAAGTTCTAACTACGAATAGTATTTTATCTTTCTGCAAATGTTTGTCATTTTTCTCCTTTATTGCATCTTTTATGGCACACAGCAGAGGAAAAGGAAATCGCATGGCGCTGCAATTGAATAATATCGTGGGACTTTGAGGAACTATGGAATCAGAAATGAACGCCCACTCGAACCTTGAAGTCTTTATTCCTCCATTTTGTATTCATACTATTTTCTTAATATTGTACAAGCATATTAATATTTCCTGCTTGAACGAAAGACTGTAACAGATATTTTTATAGTAAAAGGATCTTATGTGTACATAAAACTACTAGGCTTACATTCTAGACTTATCTAGTTTTCAGTCTACTTATTTTGAAGAGTAATTTGAAAGTATAAATCCATATTTCAGACTTATCTTCTGATCGGTTTCACCGTTTGTGCCTGGGTTTATTGCATCCTTTGGATAGAAAGCGCAGGAAACATTTACATGAACAAGAAGAATCACATCCATTTCAGGAAAGATGCTGTTCTAATTGTAAGTGATTGAATTAATTCAGATATACCGGGTGAAAACGACTACAAAGTAATGTCTTGCAGGCGAGTAGATGGTACAATCTGTTTTTCTTCTTCGTCACCTGCGAGTTCCTGCTAGGCTGTCAACATATGGTTGTTGCCTGCGCCGTTGCACGTTGGTTCTTCACCAGGTGACACTTAGATCGATATCGCGGTTGATACATGGATTGTTTTCGATTCGAGTATATGATAGAGGTTTCAACGGTTCATTTTCACTTGGTTGATTAGTAGTCCTGACATTTTTATTATTTATAACATCAAAAATATAATTTTCTTCGTGAGAATGATAAGTAAAGTACCTAGGACTTTTACGGAAGCAATCCAAATCGTATAAATTAAAAATTTCGTTTAATTAAAAATGAAAAATTTATTTGGATAGAGATAAGAAGCGTCTTTCTCTGGCGGTCACTCGAGGCTTCGGGTATCTCACACGATACCACTTAGGCACGATCGCATTTGGTGCATTGGTCATTGGCATCATTCGATTGATAAGGGCCGTTATCTCCTACGTGCAGAATCGGTTGAAAAATTATAATAACGATTTTGTACGAATGTTGTTATGGTGCTGTCATTGTTGCTTCTGGTGTTTCGAGTGCGCCCTAAAGTACCTCACCAGAAATGCTTATATTGAAACAGGTATGAATTCCTGTACAAGTATACTTCAATTTTTAAATAAAAATTTGACAAACTATGTAATTTTCTTGTTAATAATAATCTTATCAATTTGTTTGTTTTAGCTATATACGGATGTAATTTTTGTACGGGTGGCAGAAAAGCCTTCCAAGCGCTGTCAAGTAACATACTAAGGGTTGTAGCCATTAATAGCGTTGGGGATTTTGTTTTATTCTTGGGAAAGGTGTTAGTGGTTACGTTGACAGTTGTTTCAGGGATTTATTTAATACAGGTGTGTCAACGTCTTTGCGTAATTTTTTTTTTTTTTCATTTTCTCAATGTAGATTTGTTAATTATCTTGTGTGTTTAGAAGAAAGAAGGACTCCATTATCCATGGGTACCGATTGCGTTGGCTGGATTGTTTGCTTTCCTGGTGGCGCATTGTTTCATTTCCATCTATGAGGTAATTTCCATAAACAAATAGGTGGTAATATAAATGTGTATAAGAAGTGATTGGATTAAGCTGAAATGGAGATACGGTTATCAGTTTCCTTCATTTTCGATTCTTCCAAAGAAATAATCTGTTTGACACGTTAAACGTCATGCTGGTTTTACTTGTCGTTCCATTCACGCCACAGTTAGCCGCCATGTTGGCTTTTCCAGGCCGTACGGACCGGCGAGGCCTGAACGGAAAGTCCCTAGGGACCGGCGAGGCCTGAACGAAAAATTCCCTAGGGACCGGTGTGACATTTCACGCCACAGTTAGCCGCCATGTTGGCTTTTCCAGGCCGTACGGACCGGCGAGGCCTGAACGAAAAATTCCCTAGGGACCGGTGTGACGTTAAACGCGTTAAACGCTATGAAATAATTGCCATCCGATTAACATCTGTAATCGGAAATTAATTTTTCTTACAGATGATCATAGACACGATATTCCTTTGCTTCTGCGAGGACTGTGAGAAAAACGATGGTATCAACAGGCCTTATTTCATGAGCCGTGGATTAATGGTAATTAATTCCTTCTACTTGTAAGTTCTTTTTCCTTATAAGGCAATTTTTGGTATTAAGATTATTGTATTTTTGTCTCAGGAATTCGTCGAAAACAGCAAGAAAGCTCTCAATTATGTGGATCATCATCCATCCACTGCTCAATTGTAATTGCGACGTTCTGTTGCTCGTTAAAAACTCATGAAGCAGTTGGGAGATGCAAGGATTTCCAGATTGTCTTCAGAATCACTACGGCATGAATATGCCTGGCGAATGAACGTCATATTTATATTAAACTTCGATCTTTTCTTCCCGCCATAGCATCTGCAAATTTTCCAAAAAACACGTCAGATGTTATTTATTTTTATCTTTATTTTTAAATGCAAATACGATACCACGTGGAAAGCTGTATGATAAGTCTCAGACAATTTAAATAACGAATCCTCCGCTATAGTCTATTCAAAATTATAATCATAGTTATAATTATAGGTATAGACGTTCCATATATATATAAATTAATGTTAAAATTCGCGGAGAGAAAATAGTTTTAGAGAAAATTATTTTTGGAGAGCGATAAGTGATTTGTGTGATAAAACTAAATGGTATGACAAGGAATTAAAAATTGTCTGTAACTTAACATACAATTTCTATGAAACACTGTACCCGGTTCGAGAAATACAGTGTACGCACACTAGTTTTTCCACTGAAAAGAACGAACAAAATTATTGTCATTATTTCCATGTTACAAATTACCTCGAATCATTGTTATCCGCGAAGTCTTTGGCCGTATATAAGTAGAGGCTATTAAATTCAGACTGTAACTGCAGCTAGTTATATGCGAACAAATGATCGTTAACATTCCGGTTCCTAGATCGCATGATCACCGAGAAACATCGAATCAAATACTTCCTGTTCTTCTTTTTACGAGCCTATCGCTCCTCCGTGGCTCGTTGGAGCAACGTAGGCAAGCAATTTACGTGCAGTTTACTCGCATCGATGATATAAATGTATTCCTGTGTATCTTGTTTGTAATATAAACGTATAAATAATAACGCTCGGATAGTTCAAGTGACGAGGAATCACTGCAACATTATGAAAGCACTAAATACGCTGTGGCAATTCGCAACGTGAAACGTCTTGGAACACGTTTCAAACGAGAGCGCATTGCCAAGAGCGATCTAAACTCGCGCCAGCGGGCTGAAAATTGATCAGAAAAGCGATAGTGCGAGTTAGTAACGACGATAACGCGTGGCTATCTGAGTAATTGCAATCGCATCGACCAACATGCCTGTGTACATACATTCTTTCACACGAAACCGCCCATCGATGATACGCGTTTCAGGTGTCACACCCTTTCATGATCGATTGTCGACGACCAACATGTATAACGTTATTTTTAAACGTGGTCGCAGCTTTAAGTCGCACGATCACTTCCCCCGAAAAACGATAGTATTATAATTTTTATGAAATTCAATTTCTATGTACGTTCTTCATGATAAATAGAGAGAATTCTAATTTTAAAAGACACGTTTTATATCCGTTCCTTCAGCATCCTGCGTAATGCGAGCTAAAAATGTCGGCCACTCAAGGCCGTTCCCTTCGCTATACGTTATTCTAAATACGATGCTTTTTGCTTCTAAAGTTTCTTTGTGCATGAAAGACGAGTAATTACCAGGGAATCGTGCCAAACCTCTTGCTCTGCGCTGCGGTCGCAACGAAGACACGGGAGAAGCGGTGAATGGAGTCGAGACGGCGAAAGAATGTGGTGGGGGGACGTGGTTCAGCGGCCTTGAGCAGCCGCAATCTTCGCTCCCACCTATAGCGACTATTATTAATCGGCTCTAACCATCTCCTGCTGCGATTTGGAAAGTGGAAAAAGAAAATGCGAGGAAAAGGGGGGTCGACATAGGAGAAACTAGACACAGTGTCAGCAAAGACTTGCTCCTTGTGGTTCATTATTTTTCATTTATTCGTTTCGGGCACACAGTTTATTGCATGAATGATTATGCGTACCGGCACACTGCGACGATACGGACTTCGTCGCCGATGCACGCAAGTGTATCTTTTTACCTCTTTTTTTCCTGCTTGTTTATTTGTTTCTTTGTTCGTCTGTTTTGTTACACTCAGCTGGCAGTAAATTGGGCCGACATTTACGAAATCTAAAGCGGACACTTGTCTTATGTGTATATATATATTTATATATGTATATACTCTTTTTTATTATTTTCCATTTTTTTTTTTTTTTCGTTTTCATTCTTACTTAAACCGAGACACGGGCGCATGATGGATGTGTGTACAGCATCGGTGGAAAAAACGGGATATTGTTCACTTATACAAAAATCACCACAGGGACATTGTACTCTATGCATAGCGTTGTCCGGGACAACTTCGACGGGACTAGCGAACGAGAATTAGCGTTGAAACGGCGCTTCGTTATATTCACGAAACGATGTTTCTTTCATGGCAATCCTTTCTTCTCTACCTTGATCCTCGTTATGTTTCGTTAATTCTTCCTTTTTCTCTTTTCTCTCTTCGTTACAACCGCGCGAGATCGGCCGCGCCGCTAACGGGTTCATTTACAACACGAAAATATTTTCTTATTTACCATAGATAGCATCCGCGTGGGACAACATGGCGTCGCGCGGGAAACTTCGTCGAGCGGTAGTCTCGATGCAGGGGTCGCAACGCTTCGCTAAGTTACTTGCAGCTTGCAGGCATACACAATCAACGATTTTTTTTTTCCATTTTCAGTTTTCTCGTGGTTGCAAAGGTAAATTCTAATAACGCGTAGAAAGTGATCGAACTGAACGGACACACGGCGTTATAATTCCTATGATTGTTCCGAGGGGAAAGTGTGTAATTGGTCAAGCTTGAATTCACCACCGTGACCCATAATGCCCGGCAACGAAGCACGTCACTCTGGTTTCGCGTAGCTTTAGCTCAAATAGCAAAATTCTCGCGTCATGGTTTTCCTGCTCTCTTTCTCGTTCTTTTTTTCTTTCTTTCCTTTTTTTAATTCCCCACTTAAATTTCCATTGAACGGAAATAGTCTTAATGCCCGTTTACACCTTGGTCGCGATTCGTTGGGACTCGAAACGAACGATGAACAAATTCGTTGAGTGTAAATTATCGTTATTATTGTTATTATTATTATTATTATTATCATTATTATTATTTATTATTGTTATTAATACTATTATTTTTCTTATTTTCTCCATTTTCTTTTTTTCCTTTTTTTTCTTCCTCATTTCGTTTTAAACAATCCACCCAGAATAAGGTGTGCTCGTTCAGACAGCTCGTCGCTGGTTCAAACAAAACGCGTGATCGGAGAACAGTGATTATTTACTCGTGACATTATTCGAGTACGATTCGTTTCCTTTTTTTCTGTTTTCCTTCCCTGCTTGTTTCTTTTCCTCCTTCTTTCTTTCTTTCTCTCTCTTTTTTTTTATTTATTTTTTTCACTCGTTTATTTGCTTTTTTTTCCCGTTTTCCTTTTTGGTCTCGTCGAGTCATCGTCATCGTACGACACAAGGCATCCAAGCGATTATGGAAATTTATTGTACAATTTGCTCAGTCTTTGTGGAGGAAGCAAACGATCTCGTTCCCGAGGCGACGACACGAGGGGTGAGAGAGGTGTTATAATAAGAAAAAAGCGAAAAAGGGGGGTTGACGATCGTCGGCAGTGACGATTTAGAAAGGATCGTCTTTCTCTCTCCCACTCATTCACTCATATACTCACACACTCGCTCACTCTCTCTCTCTCTCTCTCTTTCAGTTTTTTCTTTTTTCTTTTACAGGGTATATAATAAATAAATTGTATTACACTAAAAAACATCTGGCTCGGTACATACAGTTTACGCGCAGATTCGTACACCTGACGTACGATTTAGGTACACACAAACGCTCTCGGCCTACCAGGGGGACATGAAACGTCGCCATTAACGAGAGGGGCCCGTTCGTGGGTCGAAGGTCGAATTGTCTGCTTCGAGAGAACACATAATAAGCATAAGTAGTACGAGGAAACTTTAGCATCGATAATTGATTCATAACGGGTACCACTGGTGCCATTCGAGGATTACACGTGTAAACATTCGTTCCCTCTTTTTAGGTTATATTTTCAACCAGTTTCGTCGATGGACTCCGATCGACGCTAAGAGATATCGGTGCCCCATACCGCGCTGATAGCAATTTTGAAAATCGTAGAAAGGGTGTACAGTAAGGTGATGAAGGAGAAAGGAACATTATTTATAACGTGACTCTATTATCTCTATTCTAGATCTTCGTTCTACGTGCTAGCCTACGAAAGCAATGAGACGTATTTCGGACTGCGATGACGTGTGGTCCCTGTTCTGATATTAAATTTCATTTCTAAATTTACGAGTATCTAGAAGTAGCCTGCATATCGTGTCAACGAACAATAGTTACACATCGTACACAGCGGATTTAGAAAAGGGGGGAAACTTTTTCGAGCACGCTATGTGGTATAAATGTCTCTACGACTCTATGTATCGAAAAAACGTAGACGTAACGTTATAGATATGTTCAGAGTGTCACAAACGCCCTATATTATAATGAGAATGCAGACAGTGATACACAACTACAGCTAGCCAGCGTTACTACTTATTAACTCTTCCTCGAGAACATCAATTACTTAAGTACAATTGATATATCAGCGGTATCAATGAATCCTTAAAGCCCTTTAGGAACTTCAATACGGTACAAATGAAATACAAACGTCGTTTTTAATAAAAACATACTACTTACAGAATAAACCCTGCAAATATATACATCTGAAAAACATTCAACTTTGACAGATTCTCCTATTTTCATTTGACTAAAAACAACTTAATTCTTAGATACATCGTTTCTTTCCGACACTGTTCAATCGAATAAAGCACGATTTCGACCTTCAACCGACGCACCACCCCAACATGGCCACGTACATATAAAAAAAGAGGGTGAAAAGCGCGTGCACGTACATCGCTCAGGTTAAGCGAGAGCTTTGCCGAATGGCCCGCGTTCGATCATCGAAGCAAACGATTTGTATAGTTCCATAAAGTTTACAAAGTTCTTGCGGACTATAATTTACAAGAGTTTCGTCGATCGATGCAGCAGAGAGGCGTGTTTTGTCATGGACTATCGTTTACAGTTTCGCACTCTAACTCTACAGTCTATGTTCTACCAGGTCGTTCCGCGAAGCGACATCTGGTTATCCGGGGTTGTTCTCCAACGAGATAAACGCGTGCATTCGGCAACGACGATGACGATGACGATTCGGATGAAGGCGATGAAGAATGAGGCGCGCGCGCTCAGCCGGCAAGCACGCTGACACCCGCGGCCATTTTCTGAAGAGGATCGCCTCTTAAAATGGACGACAAGCGGAAAATGTGCAACAGCGTATTACGGGTAGCTGTCCTAGGAGATTCCATTCCCTTTTGCTCAACTCTGCAGGCTTTTCAGAACGTTATATTGTCGCTTTGGTATCTGAACGTAGAGTATCCTTGAAGAGCAGCTCTGCTTCGGTTCATGGCACCATAAGAACGAGTTTGTTGGATTTGTTAAGCCTTGGTCTCTTATATTCATCGGTTTGACAGTGATCGACATGTAGAACTTGCGGATTCTCGTGCCCTTTTGCGGTAGTTCCTCGGTTGCATAGTTCCTGTTCTATAGACGAGAACTATGGTCTAGATGACGAAGTCAGGATTCGAATTTTCTTCTCGGGCACAACAGTGTTTCGTGTTTCCTGCTTGCACCTTGACTCTCCGATATTTCGCGAAATTCCAAGCCATCCCCTATACATCCCCTAGGACATAATGAGAAAACAGTTGGAAACGATTCGACATGCTCCATAGTCCTTTCCTGTCTCTTCCTCGCCGTGTCAGATCTTCGCGTATAGCACCACAAAGGACGTTCCTCAATCGAAACGGTACGCGTGTAAGCCTAATCGATTAGCGTGTTACATATATATAAATACGGTATCGCTCGTGTGCTTTTTCCTCGGGCGAAGGAAACGCGAGTTTTCGCTCGTTTCTCAAGCGTGTCACACTGTGCACAGGGCCTCGCATGGTACGAGGGCGTCGTTACACGTAAAGGGAATAATGGTACGATAATCGCAATCCGTGGGAGGAACAGCGGGGGAAACAGATAAATAAAGGGGAAGGAAGAGGAAGACCCTCCAAGGTTGCGAAATTCCAATGTCCGTGTACGCGAATGATTTCCTATTCGCGACGCTGCGACTCGATCGATGTCTTCTGCATTATAGCATGAGATAGATAATAATATTAATCATAATCGATATAATAATAATATATCAATAATAATAATAATAGTAATAGCAGTAATAATAATAGTAGTACTAGTAATAATAAAAATAATAAAATATCGATGATAATAATAATAATATTAATATTAATATTAATAATAAACTCTGTAATATTTAATATAGGTTTGTTCACACGGACTAGATACACTTCCCACAGAGCGACAGATCGATGAATACGCTCTCTCTACCTCTCTCGACACAACCCTTACTATTCTGGTCTCTCTCGGCTACGCATTGCGATCGAAAGGTTACAGGATCGGGTTCTGCTGGTATAGCATCGGTCTAATGGAGGGGACATGACGTGATCGAGTGAATACATTGACCATTGTGACGCGTGCTGTGTAATCGGCTAAGAGGTCGTGGTTGTTAACGATCACCACGACGCGTCACGTACAGAAGAAGATCCTCCTCGTTTAATAGCGTCGCACCATGTCGTCTTGCGTGCCTTCCCTCCCACCGCCTATTTCTCTGCACGCGAAACGGCCGTCGTGAAATTGATTGCATTTCGTGATAATCGCGTCTCCTTACGTCTTCTTGCGCCCCTTTGCGCGCTCTCTTCCTTCTTCCTAGTCGCCAGCAATCATAATCCGTCACGAGACAGCGACCACTCGACCACGGTCGCATGGACCATGATTCCAACGACTCCAGGTCAAAATTACGCGACCCACGGTGCCTTCTTGCGCTGTCGTTTGTGCATCAACCTGCTCCACGTGCAGATTTATCAACAGAGACTGCAGCACTTGGACGCGTCGCCCAAGTGAATGTGGCAGACTGCGGGTAATGGGTTGCAGCCCTTTCCTACCACGGTCTCCTGAACCAAGTGTGACAAGCCCAGATTTTGATTGATATCCCCGTCACTGCCGCGATGCTGATGCTTCGCGTCGCACCATTGCCGACCATCTCGCCATTTGTCGTCCACTGTCGCACAGAACAGCATGGACTTCGGCGACGGCGGGCTGACACGGTCTCGTGCGATACTGCCGCAAGATCGAGCCTTGTAAAGACGCCCTTTGCCGAATAATCCTGGCAATGGGACACAGAGTTTCTTATGAACGGCGAAGTATCGACTAAGCAACCGAATTTTTCTGGTCTTGCAATCGTTTCTGTTCATCGAGCCGTTTTTGTTTTCCTTGTCGTTGGACGGTATCTGATTGACCGTGCCACCGTTCAGTTCTTTATCATCGCAGCACATCTCGATCCTCTGACACGCATCCCGTTGCACCTCCTGCTTGGTGCATCTGCCGTTCGGACTGCAATTGGTCTGCTTATTCGATGGCTGAGATAACGAGGACTTGGCGCTACTGAGGGACCAACTTTGCAGGAGTCTCGCTCCAAAACCTTTAGCTTTCTGAACAGTCGCTGCTGCCTGGGACAAGGTCTGAGGCAGACCATGCGAGCCAGTACTGCTTTGCGACACCGACGACGACGAGGACGACATACTTTGCACGCCTAGAACCGCGGAATTACGAGACACGTGACAGTGATTGTGGCACGACGATGGTCCTTCCGCTTCCTGAACTTCTGTGATACGATTTAACGACTGACTTTCGCGTAGACGTGTCTCGCCGGCTCTTCTTCTGCCTGTACGATGCCTCCTACCGAATATAACCTGGTTCTCCGAGCACCGATGCCTTCCACCAGTCGTCGTAGTCGTTGTAGTAGTAGTGCTGGTACTGTTTCCACTGTCCTTTCGGTTTGTTTCACTCGGCGGTGTCTCCGTTGTATGTTCGCCATTACCTACACCTCCTCCCCCACCGCCACTTCCTCCTGGATCCTGCGAATCACTAGAGTCATCGTGACTATCGCGTCTAGAAGGCATCGATTTACCCGCAGAGGTACCCAACTTATGCGCCCTTTTCTTCCTGCTCTCACTATCGTCGTCACTGGCATCCGAACTCGAGCAAGAAGTTGTGCGTGTCTTATGGAATTTGCTCTTTCTCTGTTCGTATCCCGTTTTCCTAACCACTCGACACTTGGAACCGCTGCTCTCGCTACCGGATGCAGGCAACGCATCCCCGTCCTCCAGGATCTCGTTTAGCGGCGTAGACGTGGAACCAGCGCTTCCTGGTGACGGCATAGTCTTATATTTAGGCGTCAGCGATAGGCTGTCGTTAAGCCCGCTCAAGGGTCGCAATGGGATCGATACCGTGCACGACTCTGTTAATATAGTAGTCGTAGTAGTCGTCGTGTTAATATCGGACGGTTTCGACGGGCTCATCGTCAACGAGGAGTCCAACGACGCAGCAGAGGAACGATGTTGCGATCCCATTCTCCACTTGTTCGCTGGGACATGTCCTATTGACTTCAAGCACTCGGACACTGACTTCGGCCTGTTCTCTGAACATCCTCTTCTCGACCAGCCAGGCAACGGCCCGTCGTCCAAACGGTTCTTCAGATTCTCCTGGCTAGTAGGGTCGAGCTTCATTACTGCAGGTACTTTGTCTGCGAACTGATTGCCCGCTTGAGGCCTGGGCGCTACCTTCTGCTGGACAAGCAACGAAGGCTCGTTGCTGTTCCCGCTCTTTGGACTAGACTTCAGTCGCTCCTCTCCGTCAACTATCACAGGAACCACGTTGATATCCTTCTGCGAGTTTCGCTGAGACGTCATAGGCTTGTGGCTCGGTTTCTCTGGAAGTTGGGACAACCTCTCCTGTAGAATATGCGACAGCTTGCCTTCCGATCGGGAACCACGGCGATTAAACGAATTTAGCGTGGAATTACTGCCGCGTTCGTCTCGACCCGAGCACGAAGACACATCGTCTTCGTCTTCTTCCTCCTGCACGATGCTGCATTTCCGCGTTCGAACGTTCTGCAACGAGAAAAAGTGTCACTTTTGATTCTCAAGGAGGGGTTCACGCGATAGAGTCTCACGTCTGATATTGTTACGTTCGTCTATTAAATAATCACTCTATTACAGAGGAATCATTGGATACGTACCTGAGGCAAGTCACCCGGCGTTCGTGGCACGCTCAACAGCGATTGATTGACCGTGGTCAATGAATTTTGATCGGCACGCATATTACTAACTACGTCATCTTGCCGGCTGAAAATAAAAGATATCTCTATAGATAATCGATACACGCTTCGCTGTCTCTTTGCACGAATTTCATATACGCGTAGAGTATACCTAGCTGACACTTCGAGGATTTCCGGACGAGTTTTCTGCACCTGCTCCTGACGATGAGCCCGCAGCTTCCTCTCCGCTAGTAAGAAATACGTCGCCGTTATGTGATTGTACTCATTCTTGTCGAGGGCACTACAACAAAATCGATATAACATTAATAAATATAAACATTTCGATGACTAAAAAATCACGCTCTTTAAACATTTGATGTATGTTCTTACTCCAATATTTCTTCTTTGGTGGCAATGTTCCCGTTCACCATCTTGGTGATTATATGATTGTGATGATCATCGGACACCTGTTGCCTCGAGACCAGTGGCAACGCTTCCACCGGATCCGAGTCGGGTCCAGCAGCTAGCCAAGGATCGGCTGCTATTTCCTCGAGCGACGCTCTGTCCTCTGGCTCCTTAACCAGCATTCTGGCTATCAGACGCTTGCACTCCTCGGATACGTGCGGTGGTATCGAGTACTTGCAGTCCATGATCATCGTCAAGGTCTCGCTGTCGTTCGCCTCTTGGAAGGGTGCTTGACCGCATACTAGCATGTACAAAATTACGCCTAGTGACCAAACATCTGAAAATACCAATAGGAAAAATGAATCTCAGCTAGGACACTTCGTTGACTCGCGGTTACTTTGACTTCCGTGCAAAGTGGGGGTCTGTGGTTAGCTCGGTACGGGGTTGTACTTACTTCATGCTAGATCAACTTGACGTATAACTGTAAGTTGCGAGAAGGCTGATATCAAGAGCTGTCATTGAGAAGGTTTAAGAGTAAGCGACATTATTTTTTAGTAATTTCATATTTTCTTATCTTGCATTGGGGTGATGTTAGTTTGGATACTAGACTTGCGTGGAGCAAACGAGTTAATTTTTAAGAATTGTTCGAGTTAACTCTTTGGGGCACAAATTTCAGATAATAAAATAGACCCAAGTTAGCAATCACATAATGTAAAAACATAAAAGCAGGAAAAGAAGATTGTCGCAACAAGCCTTCCGCTTGCAACAATTGGCGAAGCTGTACTGGCATGCTGAATGTTGCCAACACAAGCGAATACGTTTATAACATTTGTCGAAGGTATTACCAACTGCTTTACGTAAATAAGACGAAATATAAACCTATGCGCATGCAGCTATTGCAATATTTCGAAGTAGGACTAAAAATGTCCCACCATGCATTACGGTGCATCAAAAAGGTGGGACACTTTTAATCCCACTGTGCCCCAAAGAGTTAAACCGTTAACACGTTAAGTGCCACGCCGGACCCCAGGGACTGGCCCAGACTAGGACCAAAAGGTGCTAACTTTGGTGTTAAATTCTTCGCCATCTTTGGACCTCGTCGAAGCTTCATTCTAGGGGTGGGTTCGAACTCGAGCTTTAAATTATCAAAGTCGAAAATAATTTTATTTCACTGGACCGAAGTCTCAGGACTTTTGTAAACGTCTGTATTAATTACAGGTAAACAGGACATGTCAGAGAAATATTCGTATTCAATTTAAATTCCTTTTCAGGAAGAGCAATATCTAAATCCTTCCTGGTTCTAATCTACTTCCCTTTTTATCGATCGTGATGACGGATGTTCTAGAGAATGACGTTGACAATGTCGCGATTTAACATTTTTTCCTTATTCGTCGATTTTATACGTTCCTCGCCCAAGTCGAAGAATTTAAAATCACGAATACGATAACAATTTTCAAATTCTCGAAACTCCAAGTTCCTTCAAAGAAACCCACCCCTAGTCTACCTTATCAACCCTCCATTTAACCCTTCGCGATTACAATTTTGATTAGTCATAAAAATAGAGCCAATTTCATTCGAGCCCAGCAGCCAATACTAATATCCACAAGATACAAGCGAATAATCGTCAGAAATAAATTATTCGATGACAGTACAATAATATAACACCACAAACACCGCACCGCAGCGTGCAATCGCGAAATACGGAATAAACGAAATGAAAATTAGAGAAAACCAGTGACGTCACGGACATTCCGCGTTGAAATTAGCGAAACGATCGGCGCGAACGGAAAGCTGCACACGAAATGCATCGATCTTATCACACTCACCAACGGCAGGAGCATCGTAACTATCGCCAAGTAGGATTTCCGGCGCCGAATACGCGAGCGATCCGCAGGAAGTCTCGAGCTTCTGGCCAGGACAGAACCGATTGCTAAATCCGAAGTCGGTGAGCTTGACGGTGCCTAGCTTCTCGAAGAACACCACGTTCTCGGGTTTCAGGTCCCTGTGCACCACGTGCAGTCGATGGCAATACGATATGGCTCTGACTATCTGCCGGAAGTACGTTCTGGCCACCTGTGATCGATTAAAAGCCCATCTCAGCGGGTCTCGTGCGAAAGGTCACGGCCTTGCTGTTTCGAAACACCAGTATGTCATTCGCGAAGTCGAGTTTCAACGAAATTCAACGAAAAACGACAATGCATCGTTGGGCCACCGCAGGAATTCTTTTAATACATTTCTCGCGTTTCCGGCAAAGAACGAGGAACGTTTGTTCTTCGGAATACCGATGACTAACGCCCCTTTCTGAATCATAAATGGCGCATGATAAGTAGGCTTTGATCAATGGTATAATTGTTATTAATAGAGCCGGGGATACAGTTAGCGACAGCGCGTTGACAGATCAAGGATACATCTCTGGATGCACGTCGTTTCGCGGGGAAAAATAACGAGACACGGATATTAACCCTTTGCACTCGACGATTTTTTGGCTACAGAAGAGTAGAAAATCAAAGATTCTCTATTAAAAAACTGACGATACTTTTTTGAGCAGTAAATAAAGAATTGTATAATAACAGAAATGTAGAATTATTTGATTTCGATACTTCGCACACTGTTACATTACATTAAATTTAATATATTAATTAATATCGATCTTCCAAATTTTATGAAATGGTCACTGAGGGTCACCTCTCGAGTGCAAAGGGTTAACCTCTTCAGGGACGAATTTTTTGAAGTTGAAAAAATCTATTTAGTTGTTTTCATATGGATAACAATTCAATAAGTAGTTGACGAAATTATTTTTATCGTTGAGGGATTTTATGGTAAATGGTTCTCCATTTTGTTTAATAAAATTCTTTAATTTTGAGAAGCTGAATGTACACGTATGTGACAGTAGCCCTGAAGAGATTGAGTACCTATGCGAAATTAAGTAGGTATTATTGGTGGAAATTTGAACTTGGGAAATGAATTATCTCGGGGTGTACTAAAATATACTAAAGTTTTTTCAAATTAATTTCTTTTCCTTTTTCTCAGTTCAGAGTCGTATTGTCAGCATGGTCATTAGCGACAGACTTAACCCTCGCACTCGAGAAGTGAGCTTCAGTCACCGTTTCATAAAATTTGCAAGATGGATATTAATTAATACGTCAAATTTAATGTAACGTAACAGTGTGCGAGGTATCGAAATCAAATAATTCTACAATTCTTTATTTACTGCTAAAAAATGTATCGTCAATTTTCCAAAATCGTCGAGTGCAAAGGGTTAAATAACACTCGGTGTTTTCGATCATGCTCCTCGAGGATCGCATTATTCCGAGCTTTCGGTATCTCTGATTCACGGTCGATGAGTCGACGTCGAAGACTGGCCGAAAGTTGCCCACGACATGGCGTGAACGACGCTTTCATATTACTTAGCGTGTCTATTAGCGAAGTTGATTCTAGATGAAGTTTCGTATTATGCCCCGCCCACTGCAATTTCAATTCCCGTCGAGAGCCTGCTAGGAATACCAGACCAATCGAAATAATTAATCCCAGGTTCCCGGTGTTCGACGGAGATAACGTAACTGACATGCGCGGTGGATAAAAAGGAAAATTATTACGCGATAAAACAATTATCCTCGAAATATTTCAATCGCGATGGTCATCGAAGAATCGAGATAATCGAGGAATAACAAGAAGATAAGAAAATGGCCGAAGAATTCCTGCCGGGGGGCCCAATGCGGTATAAAATGACAGCGTTTTCCGCGGCAGAACAGGATCATTACGTGCAATAGGTTGAAACGACCGCGATATACCTCCTCGCTGAGGCCGCTGTCGTGTCGCATGATGTAATCGTAGAGGTCGCCGCCATCGCCGAGCTCCAGGATCAGGTAGAGCTTCGTCTGCGTGTCTATCACCTCGTAAAGCCTGACCACGTTCGGATGCTGCACCAGCTTCATGCATCTCACCTGCGAACGGAGAAACAAAGAGGATGGCCGACATGGTACACGCCGGATGGTTCGACGTTTGCCCTCGTACGAACACGCTGGTCAACGACCCCTTCTCTCCTTCCCTCTCGCGCCATTATCTCGTTGACCTTAACGAGATCTACAAGTTCGAAGCGGATCGTAGATATTTCCTACGCGACTCCGTCCAGCGGATCTTACGCAATCGGTCGTTAATATTTAACACCGAACGTCGCGAGATCGTAGGAAGCTGTGCCAGAGTGCAATCGTACTCTCGCGGTTATTGTCGCGACGAGATGGACTCGTCACTTCGATCTTCAGATGTTAGCGTTAGAGTTAGAGTTAGAGTTAGGCTTGGGTTAGGTTGATTCTTGATTCTGTGAGGGTGCGGTATCGCGAGAGGAGGCTTGAAATTTACGCGATTGGGAATTCGTAGGTTTCCAAAGGGGTACTTCGTTACTAGGTTGAAAATAGGAAACAGGTAGGTTAGGGAGTTAGGCAGCCGTTTGAGATGGTATATCGATTTTAGGGAACGGAATATTGGCACGATGGTGACCCAAGCTTTTACAATTTAAACTTTCGCAGTTTCGCGAGGGAATTTTATTCCACGGTCTGACGGAGAAGTTAGCTCTAATGCACTGTACACTGCAGCTCGACAGTACTCTCATACACGGAGAAGTTGAACAGTGGGCCTTTGAATATCGTGCAACTCGATTCTAGACGGGTGGAATATCGAACGTCGGTAATTCGTATCCCGGTGATTGAAATTGTTAGCATTGCGAGAAAAATTCGTACGATCGTAGACCTTTTGATATAACACGGATTAATTCCCGAGAGTTTTGGCGGAGAATTTCGTTGCGCGCTCGAAAACGATAGCGGAATGGAAATAGTATAGTTACGTGTGAGTTGCCGCGAGTAGAAATCGCTAGGAAATAACTCAGTCCGGTGCCGCTTTCGAAATTACGGTGCAGTAACAACGCGACACCATCTAGCGTGAGCGGGAGACACTACCCCTCGCGGCGCTCGATTATTTCCGAATTACCAGCGTCCGCCGTCTCCGCTCCACTGCCGGGATCAATCAGCAGTTCATCCCGAAAACATGCGACCCTTCCCCCTGGAACACGGTGAGACGACGGAAAGGTATGAAAGGCTGGTAGAGTCCGCGGTAAAAACGGCGTGCACGATACGAGGTGCACGGCTATTGAGCGAGCAAACGGAAAGAAGGAAGAGATTAGCACGCGTTTCCATTTCCTTCGCCAGCCTGCTTTGTGCCGCGCGTATTCCCATTCACGCGACGCACAGGGGGACAGGAACAAAGGGGATGAAGGATACGCGGTCGCCTCCGTCGGCTCGCATCGACGAGACAGCCGTCGAATGAAAAAAAGAACGCCATCCGTCTGTGTGCTCACCTCCTGAAAGAGGTGCGCTCTCGAGACCTCGTCGAGTTTGCTCTTGTCGATGACCTTCACTGCGACCTTCTCGCCGGTGAAAACATGCCTAGCTAGCTTCACGACGGCGAAATGACCGCGGCCAAGCGTCTCCTCCAGATCGTACAGGCCGGCGATCTTGCCATCGTAGTTGCTGTACCCCACCCTCCGATGCATCTCGTGTCGCTGAAACGAGGAAACAGCCGTGTGAATGCTCCATCGACTCGGCCAACGGTGAAACTTGTTCCGTTCGATGGCGTTTGGACAGGTATGGCACTGGTATGACACGGGTATGGCGCTGGTGGAGACCTCTGCCGGGAAGGATCCGCGGTGCGTCGAGGTGGTTGATTGGGAGTCATTGATGGTCATGCGGAAGTTGGTAATTAGTTCTCGTTCGTTAATTTTTATCGTTAACGTTTCCAGTAGATGATAAAGCGCAGCGTGTTAGTCGTGCTTGTTTTGGTCAACGTGTGGGTGTGCATACGCATGCAGGC